ATAAGTACTGCAACAATCGTTGTATTCACTAATTAATCAGTAATCATCATATTATAATGTTAATAAGAACAAATTTGCAACAAACTGACAAAAATGAGGTTATACAGTACTAAATGATATATCATGCAAACAAATTTATAGATACAATAATGCAAGTAATAGAAAATGTATAGCACTTACGTCCAAACAATTCCTAGTTGAATACTTGTAATTAGTCCATTTATTAATTCACAATCACAAGAATAATTACTTCACATGTCACTGTAAAAATTTTTACTTCCAAGTAATTTGTGATTTATAAAATATATCATTACTGCAACAATTGTTATATTCACTATTAATCAGTAATCATCATATTATATTGTTAATAAGAACAAATTTTCAACGACTTACTAATGAGGTTATAAAGTACTAAATGATATATGATGCAAACAAATTTATAGATACAATAATGCAAATGATACAAAATATGTTGCACTTACGACCAAACACTTTTCTAGTTGAATACTTGTAATTAGTCCATTTATTAATTCACAATCACAATAATAATTTCTTCACATTACGATGTCAAAATTTAACTTCCATTTTGAAATTAAAAGTGACATAACAGTGTCACCATAATAATAAAAAATGCACAAGGATAAATTAATATTCAACAATTAATTAATTATTATTTAACTATAGTTGATTATATTTATTATTGATGTTATTTAATAAATATTTAAACACAATAAAGTAAATTAAATATGTGTCAAATAATTATTAATTTTGTGTATTGTTGGTGACACTGCTTAACACATGCCATGACTTAACCCTTGTCTTCTAGTTGACACAATTATGTTGCAAAATGCAAAATGGTGGACTTTACTTTGTGTGATAATTATTTATTGTGATTGTTATTAAATAAAGAAGTGATTCAAGTATGTTTTCTGCAGATTTGTTAATCAGTAAGTACTATTTATTTATTTTAACTTTGCACGGTTGTTTAATGCATTTTAATTACGTATTTGTATACACATGTTCGACTAGGTTATGGCCGGCACTTTAAGTTTTCCTTACAGAAATGTTATAAAAAGCTTTGTATATGCTTGGATAAGCTTGTTCTTTTATCTTGCTGTTATTTACTATATCATATCATATGGTACAGAGAAATTGCGCATATTTACGTGCCACAAAAGTTAAGATTGTCAAAGAGGTTAGGTTGATTACTTCATATATTTCTTATGAAGTAAAGGATTTCGACTAGGTTATGGCCGGCGCCTTTAGTTTTTTTCTTTACAAAAATGACATAAAATGCTTTGTATGTGCTTAGATAAGCTGTTCTTTTATCTTACTATTATTTACTTATCATATCTTATGGTACAAAGAAATTGTAAGGTTGTCAAAGAGGTTAGGTCGATTACTTGATATATTTCTTAAGTTACTGTTGTCAGGGGGTTAGGTCGTCTGCTGTATTCATTTCTTAAGATGCTTTGTACTTAAACACATTATAGACATCAACTTTGTCTTCAACTACAGCTATAAAATAATTTCCATATCAAATGCAACATTGTCACTTATTACACAAAATTAAATCCACCACGTTCTGTAACAAATGTTTTTCTACTATTGTCAAAATCTTTTATTCGAAATTCTTACCGCACACCTTTAGCTTCAGCAAATAATAATAAAAAATTCGTCCTTAGAGACCTAGATTTCAAATCAGCTTCATTCATTCATTCAGAAGACTATTTATAGGTTTGTGGGCCTATTATTTGCAACAAAAATAGAAGTATTATGGTAACGGGCGGGTCTACCGCAAGATTGTATACAATTTATTGTTGCGATGACTTAAGATTTTAAATAAATATTTGTGGACATAAAAATATACGTTTTTGGAAGAAAAAAAGATGAACGCGTGCACTGAAGGTGTGTACTAAAGTATGAAACATTTCTTTCCATTTGTTCACAAAATCTTTGATTCTGCTCTTATTTCGTAAAAATGTACTAATTTTGCCATTTGTTGTTTCAGTAGATGTATTCATTATCAATACATGATATTGATGGATATGCACACCGAAGGTTTTATAAAAAAGTCTAAAATCTCTTTCTTATTTCCAGAAGAATCTCTGAATATGCTTTGTTA